CCTCATCAAGACTCTATACCATAGAGCCCAATGCATTTCCGACCAGGAACACATTGCCAGTGAACTCAAACACGTACGCCAAGCTCTTAAGGCTAATGGTTATTCCGACTACACAATCCGCAAGGCCATCACTCCAACCATCAAGAAGGATCCTGTTGAGGAGCCTCTCAAGACCATCACCTTACCCTACATTGCTGGGGTCACAAAAAAGATCTCCAAAATCCTGATAAAACACAAGATCCAGGTCCGATTCAACACAGTACATAAAATCCGTGATCTGGTCCCGTCTGTAAAAGATGTGGTTCCAGACATACAGTACCCTGGCGTCTACAAACTAAGTTTCCTCTGTGGTAGCAGTTACATTGGAGAAACCAAACGACATGTCTCTGACCGCACCCGTGAACATTAAGCAGACTTGAAACATGGTAGGACAAACACCTCAGCCGTGGCAGATCACTGTTACAATTCAGTGGGTTAACATGATATTGACTTCTCCAAGACAGAGGTTCTCTGCAAGCCATCTGGCTACCATGAGAGATTCGTTCACGAGGCAATCCACATATACAAACACAGAGACAATTTCAACCGAGAAGATGGATTCCGGCTTAGCAATCATTGGAAGGACGTAATAAACCATTTCGGATCTTAACTGATTGTGTCCACGTTTACGGTGACTTTCGGGCCGCGTTCCACTCGCTGACATTGACTATATATCTTGTATTCTCCGCGGGGAGTGGGTTCTTTGCTCCGCTGCGGGCTTCCTGTCACCACTCCCATTGACATATTTCGTTGCTTCCTCTTGGTGCCTTTCACGCGACGGTCAGTGGTATAGTGTATAGCATATTATATAATAATAAACAGTATTAAAGTGTAATGTTTAATACAATGTATAAGGTAATATATAGTATTGTATTTGTATGGTGAATATACAGCAGTGTGGTATACAGTTGGGTGGGTAGAATAATACATAGTGTAAAATTACAATGTATAGTCTAAAAACATATTAGTTGCTGCGGCGCCATATTATTAACATTCTTTCCCTTTATTAATTCTAACCTTACTCCCTCCCTTTGATACTGATAATCCTGCATAATGCATGGGCATAATGACTTTAAACCCCTCGCCAATCCTCCTAATTGCATATCTGCATTTCCCATAAATATGCTAAATTCCTCTTGATATGCACTCCGCAGGGAATGGATTCTTTGCTCCGCTGCAAGTTTCCCATCACCATTCTCCCATTGACATATTTCGGTGCTTCCTCTTAGTACCTTTCACGCGACGGTTTATGGTATAGTGTATAACATATTATATAATAATAAATAGTATTAAAGTGTAATGTTTAATACAATGTATAAGGTAATATATAGTATAGTAATTTTATAGTGAATATATATCAGTGTGCTATACAGTTGAGTGGGTAGAATAAAACAGTATAATATGACAAGGTATAGTCAATAAGCATATTAGTTGCTGCGACACCATATTATTAACATGCCTTCCCTTTATTAATTCTGACCTTACTCCGTCCCTTTGATTCTGCTAATCCTGCATAATGCATGGGCATAATGACTTTAAACCCCTCGCCAAACCTCCTACGCATTTCACAAGTAGTGCTAATCGCATATCTGCATTTCCCATAAATATGCTAAATTACTCTTGATATGAAAATCATTTTGTCAAGACGCTCTTTGCTCCTCCATCCCAGTATAAATAGTCGCTCCAAGCCTGGAGCGTGCCATTCAGACTCTGTCTACTTGACGGACCTGTTCTCCACCTGAGGGACGGCTGCTTGCGTTGTGGCCGAAACGTCGTGAGAATTATTTTATCATGTTTTATTTTTATTATTTTATTACTTCCCTTCTACGTGACTTTACCGAAAGAATCAAGAAGATGAATCTCCACTCTCTCCACAACTACCCCATCACCAATTGGGAGTTGTGGAAGTGGAGTGTCCGATGGTACAAAATACTCAGGCAGGTGCTTAGTTTTGGTGGGGCTGATGGTAAGGCCCCACTTATTAGTGGCAAGCTCCAGGTTCAGCAGCAGCGCCTCCAACTCCTCCTCTGAGTGAGCAGCAATTACCAGATCATCGGCATACGTAACATGGTTGAGCAATAGGGAGCCATCCCTTTGACCGCATCTGGGCATCGATCAGCCTCCCATTGTATCTGTACCAGATGGAAATTCCTCCGGTACACCTATTGAAGGATTCATGAACTATGTAGTCGAAATAGATGTTAAATAATGTGGGAGCCAGAGGACATCCCTGTCGCACTCCAAGGTGTACAAGGAATGGCTCCGACTCCCAGCCAACGTAGTTTTACCCAGACCCACTCACCATCATGAAGGTCCTTAATGATCGTGAGCAGAGGGTCAGGGACTCTGAAAGCACGAAGAACCCAGAGCCCAAGCCTACGGATGGTATCATAGGCCTTGACCAGCTCAATAAAGCAAAGATGTAGGTCTTGTTGGAATTCCCTACACCTGTGCTGTAGCAGACAGACAGAAAATATGGCATCTGTGCAGGACCGCCCTTTCCTGAAACCGCATTGGAGCTCCGCAATCATCTCCTCACCGTGTCTAGCAAGGTCATGTTGAATAATCCTTGCTAGGACCTTTCCCGGCACACTGATAAGTGAGATGTCTCTGTAGTTGTTACAGTCTGTGCGGTACTTCCAATCCTGCGGAACCCGTCGAGTGGTCGAGACTGTTGTTATGATGTAATGTAGGGCTGTCTGTGCACAAACGCCACCTTCCCTCAGCATTTTGCTTCGGAGATCATCTCTGCCCGGTGCCTTTCCTGGTCTCAGACTCCGGATTGCTTTCAGCACTTCCTCAAAAGATGGCACTTCATCCAGCCACTCACAGGGGGTGACTTCTTCCAATATTTGAGGCACGGCAGCCTCAGCAGGGTCATCTCCACTTTGTCCCACGTTTTTTTCCTGACCGAGGGATTTTCCCTCCCCCAGGACCTCACAAAAATGCTCAGAAAATCTGCATACCTGTTCCTGGGGGTCAGAGATTGGATCTCCGTTCTTTCCCCTAATGATGGTAATAGGTATGGTGCTGCAGGTTACTTTTTTGATGGAGTTAAAGAGCAATTTCTGATCGCGGGCCATTGAGGCAGACTCAATCTCCTCAGCAACCCGCGACCACCACCCATCCTTGCAGTGCCTCATGGCTCTCCGAACCTCCAAGTGAAGGCTGCGGCAAGCCTCCTCATTCTCCAACATGGGATGCTGTAGCTGATGAGAGTGGGCCTGTCGCTTTTTCTCAGCCAGCCTGAACACCTCCTCTGTCAGCTAGGGTCTCTGGGGAGGTCGGGACCGTGTAGCCAAAACAGCCATTGCAGCTGCATGAGCCACAGTCCTAAAACTCTCCCATTTCCCCTCGAAATCAGGAGGAGTGGGGGACGATGCCAACCCCAGCCATAAGCGATGATGAAATTCTCGCTTGCAACTTTCATCAGCTAGCTGAGACCATGCCACTATGTGTTTGAATGGGGTCCTGGATGTACATCCACCACCAGAGTGGAATAATGGCAGGCGCATGTTACAGATGACAATTCGATTGTCAGTGGGCAGTTCAGCTCCACGGTAAGTCTTGGTGTTAAGGACATGGGCCCGCATCCACTGTTCTATCACTATATAGTTCAGCAGATGTTCTTGCTTAGACTAGGCATGCATCCATGATGTTGTGTGGATGCGCCAATGCTGGAACAGCATGTTGGTAATTAGAAGCCCATAGGCTGGACAAAAATCTGCCATTGTTGTTGAGCTGATCTGGCCCATGCCTTCCAATCACTCCAAACCAGGTGCCAGCATCATGACCAACTCGGGCATTGAAGTCACCCAACAAGATGCCTCTATCCCGAGGGACCACTTTAGCTAGCACCTGTGACAGGAGGTCATAGAAGGCATCCGACTCATTGGCCTTGCCTGCATCCCTCCACAGATGTTCGTCTTCGATGTATGAATAAGTGACCACGACCACCACTCCTTGCCTCTGGTTGATGGGAAGGCGAGCCCAAAGTAGCCTGTGGCTTACAGCTTCCCACACCTCACCGCCACGCTCCCACGCCCCCTTCATTATTTGGTTCAGAAGAAGAGCTACTCCCTGATGTTTGGCAGTCTCCTGCCCCGAGTAGAGGACTGTCCATCCCTCATGGTGGCAGGAGCCAGAGCCTGTCCACCAGACCTCCTGAGTACCACAGAGATCCAGGCGGTACTGGTCCAGCTCTCGACAAAGGAGTGGCAGCCTGTCCTCCGCAGTGAGCATTCGAACATTCCACGTGGCTACACGTAGTGGTTTTTTGTTGTTTCTGGAGGAGCCCCGATTCAGTCTCCTGGCTCCGCCAAATGGGTTTGGCCAGGAGATGTCATAGATGCCTGTCCCCCCGGGGCCTCCGACACAAGCTTATTAATTACATTTTTCAGTCGCAGTTTTGTGGTAATTAATTGAAGCTGGAGGGGTTACCAGCCCCTCGCACCCGTCCAGAGCCCCCATTTGACCACTGTGGTGGCTAAAAATGCCATGAGCGGAATGGCCAATCACCCACTCACCCACCCATCCACCCACCCAGTTACTCACCCACTCACCCAGTTACTCACCTACTCACTCATCAACCCAATCACTCACTCATATATCTGCTAATTTACCCACCCAGTCACTCACCCATTCATTCTAAAATCCAGTCACTCACCGACTCAACCACTCATGTAACCACTCACGCAATTGCATTTACTTGTCTCACCCAGTCACCCACACACCCATACACTCACCCGGTCACTCACCCCCTCAGTCACTCACCCATTCACTCACTCACTCACTCACCCACCCAGTCACTCGCACACTCACTCAAACAGTCACTCTCAGGTCGGCTGACAGATTTTCCAGGGATGCCAGCTACGGTTCTAGGTTAACCTGTACAGTTGGCAAGCCTAGCGTAGGTCGGGGTTAATGGATGGAGAGAGGCAGAGGAGGAGAAGTTAACTTACGGAACTGGAAGCTAACTTCGCTGATGAGAAGCCATGTGTCGGCAAAGTAGAAGCGGCATTTGATGGCAATGCCTGTTCGGCCGAGCAGTGGCACAGGCACGAAGCGAGCCTGGACAGACAGGGAGAGACAATGACATGCAGCCATCTATGAATGTTGTACGTACATTGTACGTGTGTATATATGTTGAACTTCTTTCACACCATATGTAACCAGCCGTGCTAATTGAAGGTGCCGCGAGGAAGGACAACAAACTAACCAATCGAAACACCGTTGTTGTTATTATCACTGCTATTACGTTTGTTTACCCGGGACACCTATAAGCGTCTTTAGGACAAGATCCAGGAAGTATGAGCATCGCATGTTACCACGCTCGGCTGCCTCAATCCCCTTCGAGATTCGTGTCGGAAAAAGCGAGCAGTGAATGAACAAGAGGGGAGCGGCAGTGAATGAATGAACAAGGGTGGCAGTGATATGGGGCAGCAATGAATGAAGGAGGGAAGAGGCAGTGATAGGGGGCGGTAGTGAATGAATGAAAGATGGGGGGTGGCAGTGAATGAATGAAGGGAGGGGAGTGAAAGTGACAAGGGGCAGCAGTGAATGAATGGAGGCAGCAATGCAAGAATGAGAGTGGGTGGCAATATCGGTAGGGGGCGGGGCAGTGAATGAAAGAGGGTAGCAGTGAATGAATGAGAGTGAGAGACAGGCCAACTACAAAAATACAGCAGGCATTGTGCGGGTCAGCATTGGACCCACGACCTCCTGCATCCCAGGTGAGGTAGTTAACATTCTCTTGCCTTGGGGTCTGGCCGGGTGCCAGCCCGGGGTCCCCAGCTGCTAGCGGCGTAGGTCACGGGGTCGTCCTCCCACTCGGAGCTCACGCTCGGACGGAAGAAGCAGCGAGCCTCACGGAATTCTCTCACCCCGTGGTCAAACTGGTTACTGCAGTGAACCTGGCTCTCAGGTAACGAGGGCGAGAACGATGATGATCATGACGACGGCGATGATGATGAATATGATGATGACAATGATGATGATGACGATGATAATGACGACAATGACGATGATGACGATGACGATGATGATGATGACGACGATGACGACAATGATGATTATGACAACGATGATGACGACGACAATGACGATGATGACGATGACAATGACAATGATGATGATTATGACGACGATGATGACGACGACAATGATGATGATGATGACAATGACGACGATGACGATGACAACGATGACGACGATGACGACAATGATGATGATGATGATGACGACAATGACGATGATGACGATGACGACAATGACGATGATGACGATGACAATGATGATTATGACGATGATGACGATGACGACGACAATGATGATGATGACGACAATGACGATGATGACGATGATGACGATGACAACGACGACGATGATGACGATGATGATGATGACAATGACGACGATGATGATGATGACAATGACGACGATGATGATGATGACAATGACGATGATGATGACAATGATGATGACAATGATGATGACGATGATGACAGTGATGATTACAATGATGATGACGATGATGACAATGATGACGGTGACGATGACGACGACGATGATGACGATGACGACAATGACAATGACGATGATGATGATGACGACGATGATGATAGTGATGATGACAGTGATGATGACAGTGATGACGACGATGACGACAATAACGGGGTCAGAACGTTACAACAACACGATCGGAGTGAAAAGTACAAGGTAAACGAATCAAACAAACATGCAACTACAACACTAAACCATCCCCCATCCTGCCGGGCTAAGCCCACTGAGGTAGTCACTTATTTTACACGCTTTTATTTAACTCACTCTGTCTGTTATTGTTGTTGTTGTCATATCCTCAAATCTTGTAACTAAATTTTAACCCACTTCCCAATGTGGTATCGACTGTAAACTTGGTATACTTATGTCTTACTGATGACAATGCTATATTCTATCATAAAAAATGATTTTTTTAAACATTCTTTTTAATATGTTATGTTTCGGCTTGGGTCTAATTGTCCACACTCAACTGACGTTGGCTGTAAATCACCACGGCCCCTTACGTTATGGCAAGCTTCAGGGCCACTTCCTGAAGTCGTGGAGTTCTGCCATTACTCGTGCGGTACATTTAATTAAAGCGTGTTTTTACAAAAGTATTTTTAAATATTACTTATTTTTCAAAAGCGACTTGGCCACCACAAATGAAAGAAGGAGTCATCAACCAAGATCACCATCACTCTCACCATCAAAGACATCTCCCCGTGTAGCCCTAAACAGACTGTTGGAGTAAGTGCTGTTATCGAGCACCTATTAAGGCCGACATTGCCTTCCCCATGCTATTGTTTTTCACACCGCACCAGGTACTAATTCGAGGCTGAGTTTGCCAAGGGGAGGCCAGGGACCGCCATCACCACCATCATCATCACCACCGCCTCCATCACCACCATCATTACCGCCACCATCACCACCGCCGCCATCAGCACCATCATCACTACCGCCGCCATCAGCACCATCATCACTACCGCCGCCATCACCACCATCACTACCGCCACCATTACCATCGCTACCGCCGCCATCACTACCATCGCTACTGCCGCCATCACCACCACCATCACTATCGCCGCCATCACCACCATCATCACTACCGCCGCCATCACCACCATCACTATCACCGCCATGAACACCATCACTACCGCCGTCATCACTACCATCACTACCACCATCACTACCACCACCACCATCACTACCGCCACCATCACCACCATCACTACCGCCGCCATCACCACCATCATCACTACCGCCGCCATCCCCACCATCACTACCACCGCCATGAACACCATCACTACCGCCGTCATCACTACCATCACTACCACCATCACTACCGCCACCACCATCACTACCGCCACCATCACCACCATCACTACCGCCGCCATCACCACCATCATCACTACCGCCGCCATCACCACCATCACTACCACCGCCATGAACACCATCACTACCGCCGCCATCACCACCATCACCACCGCCGCCATCACCACCATCATCACTACCGCCGCCATCACTACCGCCACTATCACCACCATCACTACCGCCGCCATCACCACCATCATAACCACTGCCACCATCGGCACCATCACTACCACCATCACCACCATCACTACCGCCGCCATCACCACCATCACTACTACCACTATCACCACCATCACTACCGCCGCCATCACCATCATCACTACCGCCATCACTACCATCACTACCGCCGCCATCAACACCATCATCAATACTTCCGCCATCACTACCATCATCGCTACCGCCTCCATCACCACCATCATCACTACCGCCGCCATCACCACCATCATTACCGCCGCCATCACCACCATCATCACTACCACCGCCGCCATCACCACCATCATCATCATCACTACCACCGCCGCCACCATTACTACCATCACTCTGTCTCGCTGTCATCACCACCACCACTGCTTCAGTCTCCCTCTGTTATCATCACCACCACCATCACCAAACAAAGACAAAGATCCCTCGTGTAGCCTTTAACAGACTGTTGGGGCAAGTGCTGTTAGCGATGAGCACCTATGAAGACCGGCATTGCACACGAGGGGGTGGGTGGCCAGCACCACGTCCGGCCGCCTTTGTCTCCCCAGTGGCGATGTTTTTACTACACACCGCACCAGGTATTTATTTAAGACCGAGTCGACCTCGGGGAGGCCCAGGACCGTCACTGGTCGCCGGGTTCCTTTGTGGCGCGCTAACCACTACACTACCCCACGCAGACACACACAGACAAGGATCCCCCGTATAGCCTTAGCAGACTGTTGAGGCAAGTGCTGTTAGCAAGCACCTATGAAGGCCGGCACGGCACACGAGGGGTGGGTGACCAACACAACCCCCGGCCGCCTTTGTCTCCCTAGTGGCGATGTTTACACATCGCATCAGGTACTCACAGACACACGCACAGGCACACACACAGAGACACAAACCGTCACACGCACAGACGAAACAAAGATCCCCTGTTAAGGGAAATGCTGTTAGCCGGCAGCACCTATTAAGGGCCGTCACGGCACACGAGGGGATGGGTGGTCAGCACCACGCCCGATCGCCTTGTCTCCCCATTGGCCATGTTAGGGGAGGCCCATGACCGGTTCAGATAATCATCACTGGTGTTGGCCGTGAGCAGGAATCGAACTCGCGTCGCTGGGTTTGTAGCGCAGCGCGCTAACCGCTACGCCACAGCTCCCCACACACATACACACAGACACACAGACACCACCGATGCCGCCCCCACCTGCATGAGGGAGAAGTTGCGTGAGCGGTCGAAGATGAACTCCGTCTCCACGTAGGAGAGTGTTGAGCTGTTCCAGCCAACGTAGTCGTAGCCGGGGGCCACCAGGGGGTCGGAGGTCAGGGCCAGGTCGTCGCCACCCCACATCCCGTCCGTCAGCTGACCCAGCCCTCCCGACACGTAGCTGGGGCGAGCGACGAGTGTGGGCATGCCTCATTCCTCAACTGAACTGTTTTGAAATATTTATTTTAATTTTACCAAGCCCAGGCTCGGTGTTTCAGAAGCGACCCTGGCTATCACAAATGATATCATCATCACGTGAAAATGTACAGCAGTAGCCAAATAACTCTAAATGCGTGATGTCCATTTTGACTGTGGAGGGAAAACTAGAGAACCCAGAGAACAAATCCACACGAACACGGACAGAGAGACACGCAAACTCCAAATACACAGCAGCAGGCATCGTCAGGGTCGGATTTGAACCCACACACTCCTGTATAGCAGGCGAGTTAGTTAACATCTCATAGCAAATTGAGACTGTGGCGCAGTGGTGGCATGGCAGTGGCACGGTGGTGGTGTGGTGGTGGTGTGGTGGTGGTGGTGTGGTGGTGTGGTGGTGTGGTGGTGTGGTGGTGGGGTGGTGGTGGTTGCACGTTGGTGGGGTGGTGGTTGCACGGTGGTGGCGTGGTGGTTGTGTGGTGTTCGGGCGGTGGTTGCACGGTAGTGGGGCGGTGGTTGCACGGTAGTGGGGCGGTGGTTGCACGGTAGTGGGGCGGTGGTTGCACATTGGTGGCACGGTAGTGGTGGCACGGTGGTGGCACCCACCCACCTCCTGGTGGAGTAGCCGTCGTACGAGTCGTCCTCCAGTGCCAGGGGTGGAATCCCTGCCCCCCGGCTCATCATATGACCCCGGGGCAGTGAGTAGGAGGTCAGCCCCTCTGTGGAGGGGCAATTGAGGAGAGGGGGCGGCAGTGAATAGAGACAGGGGGCGGCAGTGAATGGTGAGAGGGAGCGACAGTGAATAGTGAGGGGGACGGAAGTGAATGGGGAGAGGGGGGCGGCAGTGAATGGTGAGGAAGCGACAGTGAATAGTGAGGGGGCGGAAGTGAATGGGGAGAGGGGGGCGGCAGTGAATGGTGAGGGAGCGACAGTGAATAGTGAGGGGGGCGGAAGTGAATGGGGAGAGGGGGGCGGCACTGAATGGTGAGGGAGCGACAGTGAATAGTGAGGGGGGCGGAAGTAAATGGGGAGAGGGGGGCAGCACTGAATGGTGAGGGAGCGACAGTGAATAGTGAGGGGGGCGGAAGTGAATGGTGAGAGGGGGGCGGCAGTGAATGGTGAATAGGGACAGTAGAAGAGGGAGAAAGAAAATCGGGGGGGGGGGGTGGGTTGTTACCCACCGTCCCAGGTGCAGCCGAACGCCTCCACGCGCATGCACACACTCATGGAGCGGTCCGCAAGCGGCACGAAGCGCAGGTGGCGAGCGATGAGCGGCGGCGTGAGGTCGCGCACCACCACCCCACTCGTGTCCACGTTGCCCTGCAGCACCTGAGGAGTGGGGGGTAGCGATGAGATGTTAACTCCCTCGCCTGGTACGCAGGACCACGTAGGTTCGATCCCGGACTGTGACGACCCCTGCTGATTTATATTTGTAGCCTGCGTCTCTATCTCTCTCTCCCCGTGGTCGCTTCGGATTTTTGTCCAGGTTCCACGATTTTTCCCATCCACATTTAGAATGAACAGCGTCACACGTTCAGAGTATTTGGCTGCTGCTCTACATCTCCACGTGACGATGATCATCCTCCTCTTCGTTGAGCTGCTATAGTTTGTGACTGCGAGGTCGCTTATAAAAAAGAGCTACACAGCTCAATAGGGCCTTACCCCAATCAAATAAAAAAGAAATGGATTTTCGTTTTCGCTTGTTTACCCAAGAAAAGCCTCCATGAGTCTTAAGACTCGTTCTCAGGAGGGTCCTGCCAGGTATTTTCCGGAGGGAGCGACATTGCCACTCCCGCGTGATTCCCAAGACGTTTCAATGTCAAAACACTTTTGGCTAACAGCGGTCGCCTTGTGTTCGTTTTCGCCATGGGAGAACATCAGATAACCTGAAGGAAGCCCTCGAATAACAGGGGGACGGAGCAAGAGAGAGCACGTAAGAAAGGTGTTTTTGGTTGGGTTCGATCGTGTAAATATGAATGTGTCGTTGAACCCACCGCCAATACCCGACACAGCCTATTAGTGATGTTTATCACGTAAACAAAACATGCCAATTGATTCCCACTTCAGCACTAACCGGTTCTATTTTGAAGAGTAAACCCACTGCATTTTTATATATGTTCATATATACGCACATAAATACTGACACACATACACACACATTGAATTCACATACACATACATACACTCATAATTACTCATACAGTATACACATATTCTTATATTGTTATAATATACGCATTATATCCCGCATTCCTATATAAAAAAACATTTACACAAGATATACAAGACAAAGATCCCCCGTATTGCCTTAACAGACTGTTGGGCCAAGTGCTGTTAGCGAGCACATATGAAGGCCGACACGGCACAAGAGAGGGCGGATGGCCAGCACCACGCCCAGCCACCTTTGTCTCCCTAGTAGCGATGTTTACTATACGCCACACCAGGTACTCATTTGAGGCTGTGTCGACCTACATACACCATCACATAGACATAACAGACCTTTACTCACAACAAAAACAAACATGAAGTCATACTTGCCCATGTATATTTACACAATCACAAGCACGTACACACAGATACCACCACCACTGACTGCCACTGTCATCACCTTGCCTTCTCCCATTGCCACAATAAATGTGCCGCTATAACAGCTACCGCTACTGTGGGCCTGCATTTTTTTGCGTAAAAATAACGCTGCCACTAAGGTGTCTCCAGAATCGGCCAGTGCGACCCTGTGTGAAGCACGGCATTGTCGCCTAAACATCCTCTGGCATTGGCTACCCGTGGTGCGGTCATGATGCATCGCTGGCCGCCTTGTTCACGAGGTGGTGCTACTGTAGCACTCCACCGCCAGCTGTCGGGCTGTGGCCCCTCCGTCGTCAGCTGGTCTTGGGTAACGTCCGCAACCCAGTGCTGACCGGCATGCTGCCTCACCATCCGACATTATCACCGGAGCCCGGCCTGCCTGCTCAGCCCCGGGCGTGGCTGTTGGCCCTTTTGCACCCCTGTGTGGGGCCTCACCTCTCTGTCGTGCTGGGACGCTTAGAATAGCATCACTGCCGTCTACGACCTGACGCCACCGGCCCGTGTGCCATCCCTCCTTGGGTCTGTGGTGGTGCCGCGCTGGCTGCTTCCCGTGACAGGGCGACCTGCGGCCTGCCCCACCATCGCCTGCCATTCTGGCCCGCTCACTGGTGTTCATCGCTGGCCTGGCCCGCACAGTTCCCGCAGCCCCCCCCCCCCCCCACCTTGTGGGAGCGTGCAACCAGCATCACATGTGGATATTCAGTGGGATTGTTGCTGGTTTGCGAGGCCGCACTGCCTCTTCGTCATGGGATTTCCTATATGCTCCGAAATCTCGGCCTAAAGTTTCATTGCTATGCAGACGACACTTAAATGTACTTGCATATCCATGCATCTGCCTCCAGGTTCACTTCCGCACTGGCTTCCATCAAAAGTTGGTTGCAATAAAACTTCCTTCAATTGAACAGTGTTAAAACGGAGGTGATGTTAATTTGGTCACCCCACCAACTTCACAAAGCTGTATCCTTCAACATTATAATTGACGGTCATATCACCAGTTTGGGACAGGATGTCACAAATGTAGGAGTCATCTGGGATCCCACATTGTCCTTCAAGGCTCATATAAAAAAGATTACAAAGACTTAATTTTTCCATCTTTGGAATATCTCCCATGTCCAATCCCTTCTCTCTGCCTCAGATGCAGGGAAGCTGCTCAAAGGCTTCATGTCATCGCCCATAAACTATTGCAGTGTCTTACTCCCTGGCATGGCTAAGAAGGTGCTGATCAATTTGCAGCGTGTTGAGAATGTGGCTGCTGAGGTATTAACCAGAACACCTTCTTCACATCATATTATGCCCATGTTGGCCTCCCTGCACTGGCTTCCAGTTTCACATAGAATCCATTTAAAAATCATATTGTTAACTTAACATCGGTGAACCATCTTGCCCCAACCTACATCATTGACATGCTTACACCCATACGTCCCCGTAAGGTCCCTAAGATCTGGGGATGCAGATCTTCTTTCTGCACTCCCAGGTCGAGGCTCCGGTGTATTTATTTATTTTAAAAATGCGTTTCAAAGCCAATTTATAGGCATCCGCTTATTAAACGTTCCGTTAATTTCGTAAATTAATTCTTAATATGTATTTATAATATGATTATTTGTATGCTATCAGCTGCTGCTATGTCATGTACAGCGCTATATAGAAGGAATTGTGATCATTATTTTACAATTTGAGTACCGTGAAGTTTTGGTGGTGATTACAGCAACCAGCTTCGTCAGGCGACAGTCGTTCTCAGTCTTAAATAGAGGGAGTAGAGGTGATGTCGTACCACTGGGAGGCCTATCAGGTGTGAAGACCAGAGGGGGTGTAATGTAGTCATGTGAATTACAATGGGTCGTGTTCATCTGAGAATATGCAGTGCCTATTGTTGATACTGTTGCACAACTCAAACTCCTCGTGCAGAAAAGCGACCGATATTGGGAATAGGGAGGGAGAGGAGGGAGGGGAGTGGAGGGGAGTGGAGGAGAGAGGAGGAGGTGGAGAGGAGGTAGGGAGGGAGGGAGAGGGGTGGGAGGGAGGGAGGGAGAGGGGTGGGTGGGTGGGAGGGAGGGGGAGGGAGAGGGAGGGAGGGTGAGAGATGGGATGGAGGGGGAGGGAGGGAGTGGGAAGGGAGGGAGTGGGAAGGGAGGGAGTGGGAAGGGAGGGAGTGGGAAGGGAGGGAGTGGGAAGGGAGGGAGCGGCCCGTCTATATAGGTGAACTCGGCAGTCGTCTAGGGCGCCAAGTTAAGTGGGAAGCTAACTTCGAGAAAAAATCCAAATGAACAAAATAGAAATAAAATAACAACGATGTCATTATTTCAATTCCTGCGGGTGTACAGAGGGAATATGAATTATAATGTGTGGTACATTAGAAATGTATCACTCTTTTAATTACATCCTTGTGCAGCAAGAGAGTAAAGTGTGGTTCTGTGAAAGTCCTAATGTGCTGTGCAGTGTATCAATGCATGTGTGTACAGCAGCATGTGATGACTGAGTTGGGCCTGTAGGTGGCTGGCAGGGTTAATGAATAACCACACGTGTAAACCAGCCACATGGTTAATGGTGACTCGAAAGGAATGCTGTTCGTGACACGTGCTGTTGCATTTTACAGAGTGACGGTGCTGTTCTTCACAAGATTGCTATTAACCACAATAAATGTGTCTGCCCTCGATTTGGAGCACCTGCCCACGTCCTTCATTTCGAGTGTGCAACATTTCTGAGAATGTATTGGTTGGACAGACGGAGTGGAAGGACAAACCGAATAAACGGTGCCTCTGTTTAAAACAGAAAAAAACTACGCTCACAAAAAACATGAAACAGAAAATCGAGGCAAAATGTTTCCCAATTTACCCAAAAACACCTCAGCCTAGATTTTGTCCTTGGGGGTTTGGGTGTGAGGGGCGCCGATCACGCGATTCGCCCTCGGGGACGCTGCCAGTTTCTGGCAGCGGCTCCTTAGGAGTCCCTCACCTCCTCGCCGTGGCGGTCGTGCCAGAAACTCCAGCGCTGCCCGTCTCGGCTGTACTGCAGGCGGAAGTGGGAGGCAAACTCGTTGCCGTGGCCGCCAGCGTGGCGGCCCTGCGTGGCGACGAGGGCCACCACGTGGGCCGCGGGCAGTGTCACCTGCAGGAACTCGGCGGAGCCGGGCAGCAGGGGCCCGGCGGGGCACCACGCCCCATCACCACCATGGCCCTCCAGCCTGGCACCGAGACAGCAGTGGGGACACGGTGGGGAGAGGAGAGGGAGGTGAGGGGGAGGATGAGGGGGGAGGGATGAGGGAGGGATGAGGGAGGGGATGAAGGGGGTGTGAGGGTGAGGGGGCAGAGAGATGAGAGGGGCATGAGATAGAGAGAAGACAGGGACACGAGTTGGAGATGAGGGAAGAGAGAGAGGCTTTTGTGAAATATTTAATTTAAAAAGCAAAGCATTGAAACGAAATGATGAACGAAGCAAAGTGCCGACTACACCGAGCATCTTCTTGTTTCCTCTGATCGTAAAAAAAAGAGAGGCGAGGGGGACATGAGGACGAGAAGTAGATAGCGGGAGACGAAGATGGTCAGAAGCCGCCGCTCCTCCGGGTTGTTGACGATGAGGGGGCTGTCAGTGCTTTGTGGCTCCTCTCCCCCACTCTGCCTCCCACTGAGACTCGGCAATACTCTGCTGTGGCTGGGGGCGCCGCAGCGGCTAGGATATGTTATCTACCTCACCTGGCATGCAGGAGACAGTGGGTTCAATCCCGAACCCACGACCTGTCTGTCTCGCTATCCATGTGGTTGTCATGTGGGTTTTTTTCTCCGAGTCCTCCGGTTTTTCCCTCCACATGTAGAGTATTTGGCTGCTGCTATGCATTTCCACACGACGACGATGAGCCACTTCGTTGAGCTATTATTTGTGATCGCCAGGTCGCTTCTGAAAAATAAGTTAATACCTCAGTGGGCTTTGCCTGGGTATGCTGGTTCAGTGTTGTATTTGTATGTGTTTGGGTGATTTGTTTACCTTTCGTGTACTTTGCACTACTATCGTGTTTTTTGTATTGTTTGTTGTACGTTCGGACCCCGTGCCCAAACTGGACATCTGTGAAAAAGAGCTTTGTAGCTCATCAGATTCCTCCTACAGTGTCAATAAACAAAGTAGTTTAAAAAAATCTCCGAGTCTGCACTCGAGGGGCTGTTTCCACTGCCACAACAGAAGACGCCATGTGAACAAAACCAGTTGCGGTAGAGATGGTCACGAATGGCCGCCGCTGATTGGCTGAGGACGTGGCTCAGTCCCAATGACGAGCACATGCATTGGCCGAAATTGGCGCCTGCGTGCATAACGTAAACACAGTACCATTACACCATTGGAACCTCATTTGCCAGTCAAAAATATGATAATTGGTTTTTTACCCTTCTATCTGGCAACAAATCTGACACCTTTTTTACAAGGAGTCATGTTTGCATAGACCACAATACCTACAGTCATAATGCAAACAAAAAACATAACTCTGATAATGGATATGCACTGTCCTTGAAGTTGGTTGTTCCACACCCGAGACAGCTTTCCTTAGAGCCTAGTCTCCATTGGTGTTGGACCAGATGACGCCAAAAGGCGCGCAACTCAAAGACAATGCACCATCAGAGTATGAGAGCTCGGGGTAAGTATTTACACCATTGGAACCTCATTTGCCAGTCAAAAATATGATAATAGTTTTTTTACCCTTCTATCTGGCAACAAAACTGACACCGTTTTACACGAAGTCATGTTTGCATAGACCACAATACCCGCAGTCATAATGCAAACAAAAAACATAACTCTGATAATGGATATGCACGGTCCTTGAAGTTGGTTGGTCCACACCCGAGACAGCTTTCCTTAGAGCCTAGTCTCCATTGGTGTTAGACCAGATGACGCCAAAAGGCGCACAACTCAAAGACAATGCACCATCAGAGTATGAGAGCTCGGGGTAAGTATTTACACCATTGGAACCTCATTTGCCAGTCAAAAATATGATAATTGTTTTTAATCCTTATATCTGGCAACAAAACTGACACCTTTTTACAAGGAGTCATGTTTGCATAGACCACAATACCCGCAGTCATAATGCAAACAAAAAACATAACTCCGTAAATTTACCGAAAGAACCAAAGACTATTAATTCCTGCAGTCAATAAAATTAAGCCTAAATATATGCACTCCTTGAAACATATTGTCCTACACCAGTGACAACCTTCTTTATGGCCTTGTCTCACCAGTATTAGACCAAAGAACACCAAAAGGCAAACAGTACAAATGAAAGCACCAGAAAATGTATAGTTCGGGTCGAGCAGTTATATCTATGGGATACTTTCTTGCCAGTATCCAAAATGAATAAAAATAAGGATAGGCTTTGCGACATCGGGTAATAATGGCAGGATGAGGATCAGACTAATCGACAATATGCTGAGCAACCGATGGTTCACAGTCCACCTTGGTGAACCTGCCAGTAGCCCGCAAAGATTGAAGAACGCACTCCCTCAGGGATCAGTTCTGGCACCAGTGCTGTTCAATCTCTATACTAGCGACGTTCCGGTAACATCTTGCCGTGAGTTCGCATATGCGGATGATATCGCATTTGCAACTCACGCACGAAAAATTAAGTTTCATTTTATTTCAGTTTCATTTATTTGGTATAGCCCTGTGAGCCATTCGGCTCTTGAATCGGGTGCAACCGCAACAAACAAAAAACAAAAACATGAAGAAGAAAACATCTTAAAGTGACTATGTAACTATGCGCAAACAGAAAAATTGGAGGACACTGAGGCAGTCCTCGAGAAATATTTGTAGACTCTGGAATAATCCTTCAAGAATAGGCACCTAAAGCCTAACCCATCGAAGAGCGTCGTCTCTGCCTTCCACCTGAACAACAGACAAGCTTCGAAAACGTTGAACGTTAACTTCTATGGGGCAAAGCTAAGGCATGACGAACATCCTCAGTATCTAGGCATTACCCTGGATCAGACGCTTAACTACCATCACCACCTCAAATAAGCTTAAGGTAAAACTAAAGCACGAGTGAAAATTATTCAGAAACTTGCTAGCACGTTGAAGATATCGATGCAGGCCCTTGTTCACTCCACTGTGGAGTACTGTGCCCCGGTGTGGGGTGCAAGCCCTCAAACGAACCTTGTCGACGCCGAAATTAACAACGCGCTTCGTATCCTCAGCGGTTCCCGAAAGTCTACTCCACTCCCGTGGCTTCCTGTGCTGAAGAATATTGCTCTGGCCAACATCCGACACAATGATGTGATGACACGGGAGTACAACAAGATCATGAAGAACTTCACGCTGCTGCTCCATCAAGATCTAAAGAAACCCCCACGCCTAAAATACAGGCAACTGTTCTGGATACGCGCCTCTCCTCTAGCAGCCGACAAAGACAGTGTTCAGGGTGTCCCACTGGCCCAAACTTCCCCCACGGTGGTCTCACCTGCCGTACTTGGCGGCCGTGCTAGAATACCACTGGCTGGAGGCCGTGATGTCATCGTCTGGGATGAGCCCATCCTGCACACCCAGCGGATACCGGCACGAGCCTGCAAAGGACAAAGGTACGAATATCAGGTACTAAATTGTGGTACGGTACGATTTTCTTTTTAAGATACTGCACAAAATGATGGTAAGATTTTTTTTTTTCGAGTAGGAAATACGAAAAAAAACTATCATACCGTTCCATACTGTTACCCTAGCTTGAGCTCTAAGACCCCCTGAATAGCCTCAACAAACTGTTGGGGAAAGTGCTGATAGGTAGTGTTGCCTACGAAGGCTGGCAGGGCACACAAGGGGGTGGGTGGCCCGCACCACGCCCGGCCGCCTTTGTATCCCCAGTGGTGAGTTTTTACACATCACACCGGGTTTTTACACACCACACTGGGTACTCATTTCGGACTGAGTCAACCTAGGGAAGGCCCAGGACAGGTTCACATAATTTTCACTGATGGTGGCCATAAGCGGGAATCGAACTTGGGTTAAAGGATTGGTAGCACAGCATGCTAACAGCTACACACACAGACAGATATATAAAGAGAGAGAGAGGTATTGAGACATAGACACACAACAACAACAGCCACCATTTGCCACCAAGTGGTAATCAACCCGGTCTGTGCACACTTCTTGCGATGTTTTTCACCAATAGAATAGTGATGATCAAGACGGCAGTTTCTAACTTGAAGGCAACACATTCTCCCGGTCTGCCATCCGAGTTTGATCAAACTGGAACCACTGCAAAACTCGAGAACCTGGCACCAAAATTGGAGCCAGAGGTGTCGATGTTCATCACACAGCCGCACAAATAAGACACTGCCGCTCGACTGCATCCGCATGGCGAATCTAAAATCATGCTCAGACGGCGCTTTCGCCACTGATTGTCCAACTGGCAAATATTTCATTCAGCGAGGGGTTGTTATGCAGACCGGTTTACAATTATGCAGGTAACGCCGCTCGAACCAGTGACCCCGCAAACTATCACCCAATCTCAAACCTGAGTACGATTTAAAAGGTCAAAGAGCACCCTGTGGTCTTAAGCGGTTACTTCCCCATATCACTGCGACGGGCAGATTCAACCGGTTGCAAATGGCGTACCAAAAATTCCACAGCACTGAGATGGCTCTCTTAAAGATCACTGATGACCTCTGCATGATCATGGATGACCGTTGCATGACAGGGTTGGTTGACCTCGATTTCTCAACACCATCGACCATGAGATACTCATCGGGTGGCTACGGTCAAGGTTTCGTGTATCAGGTACGGCACTGTGTGGATTGAGCCATATCCTACATGTTCGATCACAGTTCATCAAGCTTGGTGATGAACAGTCATTACGTATGCTGTGCCTAGTTGGCATACCACAAGGGTTCATCCTTGGGCTTTTCCTATTTTCAACATGCGTCTTAACGATTGGCGATGTCATCTCATCGCATGACATGCTGATGATACACAATTGCACACCGCAGTGAAGTCAACGTTAGATATGGAGAACCTCGGTAACCTCAAAGGTTGCGTGCAATTGGTGCACGTGTGGTTTTCAGGAAACTAAATGATATTTGATTCAGGAATATCTGAGGTTCTACTGGTTGGCACTCGGGCTCAGGCAAAAATACGTGTGGGAGATACAGGTGTGGTGGTTCCAGACTCCACAATTCAGTATTCTACTCACATGCCCCAGCTAACGCAGCCTCGTCTTTTTGAGGAGCTCACTGATGGAACTGGCTAGATTTCTCAAGGGTGTTCCTATAGAGGGGTCCAAGTTTCGCAAATATAGAAAGGGAAGGGCATAACTGTAGCCGAGCAGACCCAGAACGGCATATGGAGCGATAACTCAGGCCGCTTCCACAAAGTGCGTTGATGGGGAGGTGAGCCCACAGTAGCATGGGGCTTACAGCTTCCTACGCCTCACCACCGTGTTCCCATGCCTCCTTCATTCTTTTTGTCAGAAGAAGAGCCATTCCCTGTTGTTTAGCAGCCTCCTGCCTCGAGTAAAGGACTGTCCACCCCTCATGGTGACTGGAGCCAGAACCGGTCCACCGGACCTCCTGGCAGTACCGATCCATCTACTGACAGAGGAGTGGCATCTTTCGAACATTCCGCGTGGCCACCCACAGTGGTTTTTTTTGCCATTTCTGGAGGAATCCTGAGAGTATGAGTTCAGTCTCCTGGCTCCACCAAATGGGGTTTGGCCAGGAGACGTCAGATGCCTGGCCCCCTCGGGCCTCTGGCACAGGTTTAGTTTGATTTTTTCCATGTATTCATCTTCTTGGTTCTTTCGGTAAAGTCACGTAGAAGGGAAGTAGTAAAATAATAAAAATAATACATAATAAAATAATTCTCACGACGTTTCAGCCACAACGCAAGCAACCGTCCTCAGGTGAAAACCAGGTCTGTTGAGGCGACAGCGTCTGAATGAAACAGCACACGTGCTTTGAGCATATATATAAGCTGGGTTGGAAGGGGGGGAAAGGGCGCCTTGACAAAATAATTTGCATATCAAGAGGAATTTAGCATATTTATGGGAAATGCAGGTATGTGATTAGTACTACGTATGTCCGTGCATTATGCAGGATTAGCAGCATCAAAGGGAGGGGATAGGGGTAGTATTAATAAAGGGAAGAAGTGTTAATAGTATGTAGCTGCAGTAACTAAAACCACCACGTAAACAACTAAAGTATAAACTACATAGTATCATCAGTATACTAAATATACTCTACAATAAGCCGAGTTACTAACAGTAAGTAAACATTACCATTCTACATCGTAAAAAATATAATATGCTTCCATCTAAACTTTATTCTCTTACATCACGCGAGTCTACACCGTACTATATACTGCCATAGACAAACTCAACGTTAAATGATATACTGTATTGCTATAAACCACCCTATACCTTATACATTGTAATATTACACTATGCATTATTCTACCCAACCTAATGTATATCACACTGCTGTATATTCACTATACAATTACGATACTATATATTACTTTGTACATTGTATTAAGCATATACATTTTTATACTATTTGTTATTATACACTGTACCATTTGACCGTCGTATGAAATATACTAAGAGGAAGCAACGAAATATGTCAATGGGAGAGTAGTGATAGGAAACTTGGAGCGGAGCAAAGAATCCATTCCCTGCGGATAATACAATGCCAGTGAGTGGAATGCGGTCTGAAAGTCACCGTAAACGTGAACACAATCAGTTAAGATCCGAAATGGTTTATTACGTCCTTCCAATGATTGCTGAGCCAGAATCCATCTTCTCGGTTGAAATTGTCTCTGTGTTTGTATATGTGGATCGCCTCATGAACGAATCTCTCATGGTAGCCAGATGGCTCTGTCTTGGAGAAGTCAATGTCATGTGAGCCCACTGAATTGTAACAGTGATCTGCCACGGCTGAGGTGTTTGTCCTACCGTGTTTCAAGTCTGCTTTATGTTCACGGATGCGGTCCGAGACATGTCGTTTGGTTTCTCCAATGTAACTGCTACCACAGAGGCAACTTAGTTTGTAGATGCCAGGGTACTGTATATCTGGAACCACATCTTTTACAGACGGGACCAGATCACGGATTTTATGTACTGTGTTGAATCGGACCTGGATCTTGTGTTTAATCAGGATTTTGGAGATCTTTTTGTGACCCCAGCAATGTAGGATCCTTCTTGATGGTTGGAGTGATGGCTTTACGGATTGTGTAGTCGGAGTGACCATTAGCCTTAAGAGCTTGGTGTACGTGTTTGAGTTCACTGGCAATGTGTTCCTGGTCGGATATGCATTGGGCTCTATGGTATAGAGTCTTGATGAGGGAATTCTTCTGGGATGGATGGTGGTGGGAATCCGGTTTTAGGTAAGCATCCGTATGGGTGACTTTCCTGTAGACAGAGTGGCTCATTGAACCATCAGGGCTCCTTTTAATTAGGACATCCAAAAAGGGTAGCTTGCCATCTTTTTCGACTTCCATGGTGAATCTGATGACTGGGTGTATGGAATTGATGTGGTCGAGAAATTGGTCTAGAGCAGGCCGGCCATGTGGCCAGATGACAACAGTGTCATCTACGTACCTCTTCCATAAGGTCGGGCGTAGAGTGACAGTCTGGATGGCGTCAGTCTAAAATTTATCCATGAAAATGTTCGCTACAACCGGAGATAGGGGGGAGCCCATTGGGGTGCCCTCAGTTTGCTTGTAGAAAGTTCCATTCCAGGTTAAGTATGTATTGGTTAAGTAGTGTCTCACTAGGGGGGGTACCCCAGTATTCAGTCCTTGATGAACCAAGTTTTCAATGATTGCGATGGTGTAGTTTAGCGGTAATTGAATTGAAGGCGGAGGGATTACAAGCCCCTTGCACCCGTCCAGATTCCCAATTGACTGCTGTGGTGGTTACAAAAGATGTCAGGATCAACTGGTTAAAATCGGCCTTCCCCCCCCCCCCCCGCCCAATGGCATTGCTCACCACAACGTTACCATCCGGCGTACCACTGTAGTCACACACACGAACATATACTCTCTATTACACACACATTCGCACAGCACAGCTGCTCGATTAAGCATCAACTCACTCAGCAGGAACTGCCCATTCACAGCTGCAGCCAAGACGATGAGCAGAACCAGCCCAGAGCACGGTCCAGACGGCGGCCCAGAGACTGACATGATTGCAGCCGTGAGCTGCGATCCACCGGGTGGAACTTCATGCGAACTTTAGGGCCTGAACAAAGACAAAGACAGAGATCCGCATATAGCCATGAAGAACAGACTTTTGTGGAAAGTACTGTTAGCGAGCACCTATGAAAGCCGGAACGGTACACAAGGTGGTGGGTGGCCAGCACCACGCCCGGCCACCTTTGTATCCTGAGTGACAATGTTTACACACCGCACCAGGTACTCATTTGAGACTGAGTTGACCTAGGGGAAGCCCAGAACCGGTTCAGATCTTTGTCGCTGGTGTTGGCCGTGAGCAGAAATTGAAACCTGCTCGACGGGTTTGTAGCGCAGAGTTCTAATCATGACGCTACCGCTCCCAGGGCCTGAACACACACACACACACACACGGTGACATACAATACCTGTCAACCCTTATTAGTGCCGACCTTATTAGTCAAATTCAGACCTTATTGGTCACCCCGTGCCCTTATAAATCTCAACGTTCATCCTACAAAGTCCCATCACGAGGGAGAAACATAAGCAAATCGACACATTTTTATATTTTGCCTGTATTGAAACGGCTTTACGCCGTATGGACCTGACAACTCAATTTCCCTGCACAAAATACGGGGTAAACCGTGTAGGTTAACAGGTATGAAATAGACAAAGACACACACGTATTGGATGGTATACACCGGTGGTGAGCAGTATAATAAATATAGTCTAAATATGTATTTATATTGCCACGATTCATAAAGCCCCCAGTCACAACATCTTGCGGGATAATGGTGGTGTTGTGTCAATATCGGTTTGTCGTGAAGTCGAAGCGATCGGAAGAGGAATGTTTATTTGAGCGGCTGAAGAGGAAGCTTCACCATCTGTTGCCGTATATCAGCAACCCAGCCCTGATGACAATTGGCTGGCTCTATGTTCCAAAGGCAAGATTTGACTCGTGTCCTACCTAGACTTGGTCAGACGGTTCCCTGATTCAACGGAACCCAAATCAACAGTCAATACTGACCCTTTGTAGCAAGTCTCAGTCGACTGAATACACCTTGGAATCGCATTAAACGTGGTGACAGGGTCAATGAAAGATCGAAATAAAACAGATTTGATTATTCAAAAGTTTATTTGAGAACTGCTTTACGAAGACCGGTGTGTTGTCATGCTGCACTGGTGTACCGCCATCACGGACACATATTTTGGGCGACAGGGGTGGCACAGTGGTTACACACGTGCCTCACAGCACGAGGGGCCTGGGTTCAATTTCAACCTGGGTGCCTTTCTGTTCTACCCCTGTTCTACAGAGGCAGAGAGTGAGTGGGGGTTTGTATGTTCTACTTCTGTTCTACAGAGTGGAGTTTGTGTGTTCTACCCCTGTCCTACCGAGTGAATGAGTAGAGTTTGTGTGTTCTACAGAGTGAGTGTGTGGAGTGTGTGTGTTCTACCCCTGTCCTACAGAGTGAGTGAGTAGAGTTTGTGTGTTCTACCCCTGTCCTACAGAGTGAGTGAATGGAGTTTGTATGTTCTACACCTGTCCTACATAGTGAGTGGAGTTAGTGTGTCCTACCCCTGTTCTACAGAGTGAGTGAGTGGAGTTGGTGTGTTCTACCCTTGTTCTGCATTGGCTTTCCTCCGGGTTCTCAGATTTCCTCCCTGAGCTACGCAAAAATAAAACCCCCATACAAATGTAACTGGAATGGGGCAAACATTCCAATGGTGAACATTACTTGCACATTTCTCAATTGGGATCACACAAAGACAAATATCCCCCATATAGTATTTGCAGACTTGTTGGGGCAAGTGCTGTTAGTGAGCGTCTATGAAGGCCGGCTTGGGACACGAGGGGGTGGGCGGCCAGCACCACGCCCGGCCGCCTTTGTCTCCCTGGGGGCGATGTTTATACACTGGGCTAGCTACTCATTTAAAACAGTCAACCTAGAGAAGGCCCAGAACTTGCTAGGATATTCGTCACTGATGTTGTTCACGACCAGGAATCGAACATTCGTAGTGCAATGCACTAACACCCAAACAAAGACAAAGATCCCCCATATAGCCTTAATAGACTATTGGGGCAAGTGCTGCTAGTGAGCACCTATGTAGGCCGGACGATGGGGTGGGTGACCCGCACTATGCCCGGAAGCCTTTGTCTCCCCAGTGGCGATGTTTGTATACACCGCACCAGGTACTCATTTGAAGGGGCTGCGTCGACCTAGGGGAGACCCAGGACTGATTCAGATATTTGCAACTGATGTTGTCCGTGACCAATAATCAAACTTGCGTAGCCAGGTTCCACACACACAAACATGGCTACACATACACAGAAATGTTTAGACACGATAATCATTAACTGAAAGATATGTTAGTTTAAAAACACACATTCATCCATTTAGGCAGCTCCTGGAGTCCAGGTCTCAGGATCAGTGTCTGATCAGGTCTCAAGATGAGTATCTTCAATTAAGACCGGGTCTCAGGTACAGTGTCTTCAATTAAGACCGGGTCTCAGGATCAGTGTCTTGAGTTGAGACCGGGTCTCAGAGCAGTCTCTCGAGTTGACACTGGGGGCTCAGTGTTTTGAGTTAAGACCGGGTCTCAGGATGAGTGTCTGGGTCAAACACTAATCCTGCGACGTAGTCTGGAGACACTGAGACACTGACCCTGGGAGAGTGTTGCTCCACACTAAGTGAACCAGACGTCACTTGGAGAAGGAATCTCGGATGTAGCTCCGTGATGTCTGCTTCCGGGGGAGCATTCTTTAACGCCAAGATGTGGGCTGCTTTGCGATGTTTCCGAATGGATTCCATCTTCTCACGATGGCGGTAGCGAAATGGCGATGAAGTTGGGTAAATATAGTTACATTATTGCAAGGGAGTTTAACACGTAGTAGGTTTTCGCGACCAATATCCATAATACAGGTTTTTTTTGGGTTAGATCGCGTAAATATATAAATGTTTTGTGAAACACGCCACCACCTGACACAGCCAATTGGTCAGGTTTGTTACGTAAACAGAACATGCCAATTCCTTACTAGTACAGCACTAACCGGTGTGTTAGAGAGCCAACCCACAACATGTACAATTTGATTAAGCTAGTTGTAATTTTAACACGTAGGCTTGGCTCTCCAACACACCGGTTAGTGCTGCACTTGTGACGAATTGGCATATTCTGTTTACGTGACAAACCTTACTAATTGGCTGTGTCGGGTGGTGGCGGGTTGAACGACACATTTATATATTTATGCGATCTAACCCAAGAAAAACCTCTATTATTGCAAGGGATTCTTCCATACTTCCCATGCACCGTAACTGATATTATCCAAACATCCCAATGTTAAAAAATATACCACAAAGAATGACTCAATTGGGATTAAATGAAACTGGTACAGGGCAAACATTCCAATGGTGAACATTATCTGCAACATTTTTCAATTGGGATCACACGAAGACAAAAAATATCCCCCGTATAGCCTTTGCAGACTTGTAGGGGCAAGTGCTGTTAGCGAGCGTCTACGAAGGCCAGCACGGAGCACGAGGGGGTGGGTGACCAGCACCACGCCCGGCCGCCTTTGTCTCCCTGGGGGCGATGTGTACACACTGGGCCAGCTACTCATTTGATACCGAGTCAACCTAGAGCAGGCCCAGAATTGGTTCAGATATTCGTCACTGATGTCGTCCACGACCAGGAATCGAACTTGTGTCTCGCTAGCTTTGTGGTGCTGTGCACTAACCACCAAACAAAGACAAAGATCCTCTGTATAGACTTAACAGACTATTGGGACAAGTGCTGCTAGCGAGCGTCTATGAAGGCCGGACAATAGGGTGTGGTGGCCAGCACCATGCGCAAGGAGTGGTGAACGCGATGAGTGGTGAACGCGATGAGTGGTGGTGAACGCGATGAGTGGTGGTGAATGCGATGAGTGGTGATGAATGCAATGAAGAGTGGTTAACGCGATGAGTGGTGAACGCGAAGAGTGGTGGTGAACTTGATGAGTGGTGGTGAATGTGATGAGTGGTGGTGAACGCGATGAGTGGTGGTGAACGCGATGAGTGGTGGTGAACGCGATGAGTGGTGGTGAACGTGATGAAGAGTGGTGAACGCGATGAAGAGTGGTGAACGCGATGAAGAGTGGTGGTGAACGTGATAAGTAGTGGTTAACGTGATGAGTGGTGGTGAACGTGATGAAGAGTGGTGAACGCGATGAAGAGTGGTGAACGCGATGAAGAGTGGTGGTGAACGCGATGAAGAGTGGTGAACGCGATGAAGAGTGGTGGTGAACGCGATGAGTAGTAAACGCGATGAGTGGTGGTGAACGTGATGAAGAGTGGTGAACGCGATGAAGAGTGGTGGTGAACGTGATGAGTAGTAGTTAACGTGATGAGTGGTGGTGAACGTGATGAGGAGTGGTGAACGCGATGAGTGGTGGTGAACACGCGATGAGTGGTGGTGAACGTGATGAGTGGTGGTGAACGCGATGAAGAGTGGTGAACGTGATGAGTGGTGGTGAACGTGATGAGGGGTGGTGAACGCGATGAGTGGTGGTGAACGTGATGAGGAGTGGTGAACGCGATGAGTGGTGGTGAACACGCGATGAGTGGTGGTGAACGTGATGAGTGGTGGTGAACGCGATGAAGAGTGGTGAACGTGATGAGTGGTGGTGAACGTGATGAGGGGTGGTGAACGCGATGAGTGGTGGTGAACGTGATGAGGAGTGGTGAACGCGATGAGTGGTGGTGAACGCGATGAGTGGTGGTGAACACGTGATGAGTGGTGAACGTGATGAGTGGTGGTGAACGTGATGAGTGGTGGTGAGCGTGATGAGTAGTGGTGAACGTGATGAGTGGTGAACGCGATGAGTGGTGGTGAACGCGATGAGTGGTGGTGAACACGCGATGAGTGGTGGTGAACATGATGAGTGGTGGTGAACGTGATGAGGAGTGGTGAACGCGATGAGTGGTGGTGAACACGCGATGAGTGGTGGTGAACGCGATGAGTGGTGGTGAACGCGCACCCTCCTGATGGGACACTCCGGGAGAGGAATGTGAAGTCTCCCCCCCCCCCTCTGCCCGCCCCGCTTGGCACGCCGACAGAGATGCCAACCCGGAGCCAGGATTTGCAAAGACGCTTTTTGCCACACCACTGTGTGGTTGACAAATAAATAAATAAAATGGCTTTTCATTACAGAGAGAAAAAGAATATCCCACCCTTTGCAAAGCCACGGAGCTCTACAAACAATAAACATGGGCAGCTTCGATAAACTCTGGATGGCTTTCACCAACAACCCAAGAAAAAAGCTAGTCATTTGAACAGTACTCAGATTCATATTCTTGGTTCTTTCGGTAAAGTCACGTAGAAGGGAAATAATAAAATAATAAAATTCCCTTCTACATGACTTTACCGAAAGAACCAAGAATATGAATCCCTGCAGTCACGAAAGCTTTAAATCAAAATTTATAACTCAGATTGTAAATGTTGTGGATTTGCTCACCCACACACAATCGGTGTGTTACTATTAACTCCTGATTGTACTTGTGCTCACATTGTACTTGTGCTCACATTGTACTTGTGCTCACATTGTACTCAGATTGTACTTGTGCTCACATTGTACTTGTGCTCACATTGTACTTGTGCTCACATTGTACTTGTGCTCACATTGTGCTTGTGCTCACATTGTACTTGTGCTCACATTGTGCTTGTGCTCACATTGTACTTGTGTTCACATTGTACTTGTGCTCACATTGTGCTTGTGCTCACATTGTACTTGTGTTCACATTGTACTTGTGCTCACATTGTGCTTGTGCTCACATTGTACTTGTGTTCACATTGTACTTGTGCTCACATTGTACTCAGATTGTACTTGTGCTCACATTGTACTTGTGCTCACATTGTACTTGTGCTCACATTGTGCTCACATTGTGCTCAGATTGTACTTGTGCTCAGATTGTACTTGTGCTCAGATTTTAAATGTTGTGGATTTGCTCTCCAACACACAAGCGGTGTACTGTACTAGTAACGAAATGGCACGTTCTGTTTATGTGACACAACCCTCATTAATTGGCTGTGTCGGGTAGTGCTGGGTCTAACGATACATTTATAATTACGCGATCTAACCCCCCCCAAAAACTACATTTTGAAAGAAAAAGAGGCCTCCAAGCGATTCGAGGAAGGGCCCCTTCGGCCGTGACTGCCACAATCGCTGCCGGCAACGGGGGTCTAAAGTTCAAGGACTGTGGCTTATTCAGTCACCCCTGCCTCATGGTTACCGTCGTTAAGGCCGAACGGATCAAGTGGTTGGCCTGTGCATCTGGGGTTAAGTGAGTGTGTGAGTGAGTGTGTTGTTGTTGTTGTGACCTGCAGTGTTGTGAGTGATTGGGTGAGTGAATGGGTGGGTGAGTGTCTTGAGTGAGTGTGCGGATGTGTGATAGGATGAGTGTGATAGAGGGGAGTGTGTGAACGAGTGGGTGATTGAGTGAGTGTGTTGTTGTGTGTGTGTTGTGTGAGTGAGTGTGTTGTTGTGTCAGTGAGTGGGTGATTGAGTGAGTATGTTGTTGTTTGAGTGAGTGGATGATTGGAGTGTGTTGTTGTGAGAGGTCTTCTCGGCCACGGTCATTCCCTCCCTTCTCTATGCTTGCGAAACGTGGACCCCCCTAAGGGAGCATCTTCGCCGGTTGGAAACATTTAGGCTGGCCTGCCTACGATCCATCCTGGGTTTAACCAGGCTGGATTGTGTGAGGAGCTCACAAATCCTTGAAAGATCTGGGCAAAGTCCCATCGGTGAGCTCCTCCGGCAGGCAAGGATGCGTTGGCTGGGTCATGTAGCCCGCATGCCCAGCCACCGCATGCCTAAACAGCTTTTGTTCGGCCGGGTCGAGGGGGCTAAACGGGCGCGGTACAGGCTAGAGAAGAGATGGAGTGATGTGGTACAGGAGGACGTGGAGCTGAGTGGACTTGCCGATGACTGGTACCAGCGGTGTCAAGATCGGCCTCAGTGGAGGAGGCTCGTGAAGGGCGCTACTGGGCAGTTGGAGGCAGTCGCCCTCCAACAACAACGGAGGGCGGAGGAGCGACGCTCACAACAACGAGCGGAGCGCCGGGTGGCTAAAGCACAGCAAGTTGGTACAGTAGGGGGCACAGGTGGTGCATCAGCCAGTCATCTCGGTCATCTCGGTCAGTCGACCCGTGGCACCTGCTGGGTCTGCCCCGTGACCTCCTGTCAGCGGGCGTTCGACACTTCACGTGGCCTCAAGGTGCACTTGGCCTGGCACAAGCGTCGTGGTGACGTCACCGCCACTTAGTGGCGAATGGCGGTTGTTGTTGTGTGTTGTTGTGCGAGTGTGTTGTTGTGCGAGTGTGTTGTTGTGCGAGTGTGTTGTTGTGCGAGTGATTGGGTGATTGAGGGAGTGTGTTGTTGTGTTAGTGAATGGGTGATTGAGTGAGTGTGTCGTTGTTGTGACCGACAGCGTTGCGAGTGGGTGAGTGACTGGGTGAGTCATTGGGAGGGTGAGTGATTGGATGGGTGAGTGTGTTGTTGTTGTGTGTTGTTGTGTGAATGTGTTGTTGTGTGAGTGTGTTGTTGTGCGAGTGTGTTGTTGTGTTAGTGAGTGGGTGATTGAGTGAGTGTGTCGTTGTTGTGACCGACAGCGTTGCAAGTGGGTGAGTGACTGGGTGAGTCATTGGGAGGGTGAGTCATTGGATGGGTGAGTGTGTTGCTGTTGTGACCTGCAGTGTGGTGGTTCAGCGAGTGCGTGAGTGTGTTGTGAAGAGCGACGCTAACACCAACGAGTCGAGCGCCAGGCGGCTAAACCACAGCAAGTTGGCAAAGTAGGGAGCACAGCTGGTGAAGTGGCCAGTCGTCTCAGTTAGTTAACCCATGGCACTAGGGTCTGTCCCGTGACCTCCTGCCAGCGAACATTCGACACTTCACGTGGTTTTAAAGTGCACATAGCCTGGCACAAGCGCTGTGGGGACGTCACCGCCACTTAGTGGCGAATGGCGGTTGTTGTGCCCTGCAGGGTGGTGCGTGAGCCGGTGTGCGGATGAGTGAGTGGGTGAGCAATAGGGGAGAGTGTGTGAGTAAGTGGGTGATTGAGTGAGTGAGTGTGTTGTTGTTATTGTTACCAGCAGTGTTGTGAGTGAGTGATTGAGTGATTCATTGGGAGGGTGAGTGATTGGATGGGTGAGTGTGTTACTGTTGTGACCTGAAGGGTGGTGAGCTCTTCTGGCAGGAAAGGCTGCGTTGGCTGGGTCACGAAGCCCGCATGCCCAACCACAGCATGGCCAAGCAGCTTCTGTTTGGACGGATAGCAATAAAATGGCATGGCGTGGCCTAGAGAAGCGATGGAGTGATGTGGTACGGGATGAAATGGAGCCGAGTGGAATTGCCAACGACTGGTACCAGCGGTGTAAAGATCGGCCTCTGTGGAGGAGCATCGTGAAGGACACTACTGGGCAGTTGCGACGCTCACAACAACAGCGGAACTCTGGGCAGCTAAAAAGCGGCCAGTTGGCACAGTAGGGGGCACATCTGGTGTGCATCTACCAGTCATCTCAATCAACCCATGGCACCTGCAGGGTCTGTCCCGAGACCTCCTGCACCTAGCCTGGCAGTAGGTGTTACAGCTGGTGTCCATCTACCGGTCATTTAAATCAGTCAACCCACGGCACCTGCAGGGTCTGTCCCAAAACCTCTCGTCATCGAGCCTTCAACACTTCATGTGATAGCCTCAAAGTGAACCTGGCCTATTATGGGCGCCGTGGGGACGTCACTGTCACTTAGTGGCGAATGGCGGTGGTATTGGGATTAGGGTGATTTGACAGTCTGGTAGATCCGAGTCCTCAACATGGCCAGACGAATCAATGTGTAGAGGAGTAGTCTGATGACGTCATGTCATGGGTGCTGTAAGGGGATACCTTCGGGAGCAGTGGCAGGTCCGAGCGAAGGGGAGGAGCCGCCCAAGGGGTACTTAACGGGGACCCCGTGACGAAGGCGGGCTCGTTGTGGGAGCCCGGAGTGTGGATCAGCTGCAGGAGGTCTCTCCCGCTCGTGACCAGATGGTGTTGGCTGAACCCCTGTCCGGGGTCGATGAGTGGGAGAGCCGAAGAGATAGCCGAGAGTAGGGCTCCAAGAAGTCTGTGAGAATCGGCTGGGAGTGAGTGGGGTTCTTCTCTCCTCGGCCGGGCGGTGTTGGATGAACCCCCGTCCTGGTCCGAGTGAGAGAGCCCAAGGGATAGCCGAGGTTAGGACAAGAAGAGCTCGGGGGTCCATGGGAAGGACAGAGTATAGAGAACAACTACCCCTGGTGTGAGACCGAGTGTTTCAAAGTGTTCATAAACGGCAAAAGCCCTTACAAAAAGTTCTGTCTCCGTGTGGTTCTACGACGCAACAAAAGCATTGAGTTCATGGAAACATTAACCATTGTAGTAGTGGTAGCAGAGTTACAAGGAGGCATCTGGTGGGCGAGTGAGCGGAGTGATAGTGATGATGATACCGATGTTGATTATGAGGACCCTAACCCATCCAAGCGCTGTCCAGGCTAACCATCTGCTGAGCTTCAGAGGTCTGACGAGATCGGACACATTGTGGGTCATAGGCTTATGAACGGGTGTTCGTGTATGGGTCTGTGAGAGAGTGTGGGTGTGAGTGTGTGTATACGTGTGTGTTCTTGTGTGTGAGAGAGTGTTGGTGTGAGTATTTGTGTACGTGTGTGTGTTCTTGTGTGTGTGTGTGAGAGAGAGAGTGTGTTTGTGTGAGTGTGTGTGTACGTTGGGCAAAAAGAACCCCCTACCTCCCCGTGGTGCAGGACGGGCAACGCTGTCGTGGGCAGTGCCGTGGGGGAGGGGCCAATTCCAATTGGCCTTTCCCCTCAGGGCATTTGTGACCACCACAGCAGCTAAATGGGGGCTCTGGATGGGTGCGAGGGGCTGGTAACCCCTTCATCTTCAATAAATTAGCACTAAACCACGTGAAAAATATCTAATGAATAAGCTTGTGCCGGAGGCTCCGGGGGGACAGACGTCTATGACGTCTAGGGGCCAAACCCCATCTGGCGGAGCCAGGAGATTGAATATTTACCCTCAGGTGCTCCTCCAGAAACAACAAAAAGCCACTACGTGTGGCTACGTGGAATGTTCGAACGCTCACTGCGGAGGAGAGGCTGCCACTCCTCTGTCGGGAGCTAGGCCGGTACCGCCTGGATCTCTGTGGCATTCAGGAGGTCCGGTGGACCGGCTCTGGCTCCTGCCACCATGAGAGGTGGAAAGTCCTCTACTCGGGGCAGGAGACTGGCAAACAACAGGTTTGGCTCTTCTTCTGAACAAAATAATGAAGGGGGCGTGGGAGCGTGGCGGTGAGGTGTGGGAAGCTGTAAGCCCCAGGCTACTTTGGGCTCGCCTTCCCATTAACCGGAGACGAAGAGTGGTGGTCGTGGTTACTTATGCCCCCACCGAAGACGAACATCCGTGGAGGGATGCAGGCAAGGCCGATGAGTCAGATGCCTTCTATGACCTCCTGTCACAGGTGCTGGCTAAAGTGGCCCCCCTCGGGAAAGAGTCATCTTGTTGGGTGACTTCAATGTCCGAGTTGGTCATGATGCTGGCACTTGCTCTGGAGTGATTGGAGGGCATGGGCCAGATCAGCTCAATAACAACGGTAGGAGGCTGCTAGATTTTTGTGCAGCCCGTGGGCTTGTAAGTACCAACACGCTGTTCCAGCATTGGCACATCCACACAACATCATGGATGCATGCCGGGTCCAAGCAAAAACATTGTTGGACTACATATTGACGAACCAGCGGATGCGAGCCCATGTCCTTGACACCAGGACCTACCATGGAGCTGATCTGCCCTCTGACCATCGAGTAGTCATCTGTAAGATGCGCCTGCCATTCTTCCACTCCGGTGGTGGGTGTACACCCAGGACCCCATTCCAACCTAAGGTGACCTAGTCTCAGCGAGTTGATGGAAGTTGCAAGCGAGAATTTCATGATCGCTTGTAGCTGGGATTGGCATCGTTCCCCACTCCTCCTGATGTTCAGGATGGTTGAGAAAAAGCGACAGGCCCACTCTCATCGGCTACACCATCCCACGTCAGAGAATAAGGAGGCTTACCGCAGCCTTCGCTCAGAGGTTCGGAGAGCCGTGAGGCGCTGCAAGGATGGGTGGTGGTCGTGGGTTGCTGAGGAGATGGAGTCTGCCTTAATGGCCCGCGATCACAAATCCCTATTTAACTCCATCAAAAACAGTAACCTGCAGCGCCATACCTATTACCATCAATAGGGGAAAGAATGGTGATCCAATCTCCGACCCCCAGGAAGAGGTTTGCAGATTTGCTGAGCATTTTTGTGAGGTCCTGGAGGAGGGGGAATCCCTCAGCCTGGAAAACATCATGGGACAAAGTGGGGATGACCCTGCTGAGGATGCGGTGCCTCAAAAATTGGAGGAGGAAGTCACCCCCTATGAGTGGCTGGCTGAGGCGCCATCCATTGAGGAAGTACTGAAGGCGATCCAGAGTCTGAGATCAGGAAAGGTACCGGGCAGATATGATCTCCCAAGCGAAATGCTGACGGAGGTTGGCGTTTGTGCGCAGACTGCCCTACATGACATCATAACAACAGTCTGGGCTACTGGATGGGTTCCGCAGGATTGGAAGGATGCCCTGGTGGTCCCTCTCTTTAAGAAGGGGGACTGCACAGACTAACAACTACAAGGGCATCTCATGCCTCAGTGTGCCGGGAAAGGTCCTGGCAAGGATAATTCAACATCACCTTGCTAGGCACGCTGAGGAAAGGCTTGCGGAGCCCCAATGCGGTTTCAGGAAAGGGCGGTCCTGCACAGATGCCATATTTTCGGTCCGTCTGCTACAGCAGAGGTGTACAGGAATTCCAATAATACCTACATCTCTGCTTAATTGACCTGGTCAAGGCATATGATAGCATCAGTAAACCGAGGCTCTGGGTTGTTCTCTGTGCTTTCGGAGTCCCTGACCCTCTACTCACGCTCATTAAGGACCTTCATGATGGTGAGCAGGCCCGGGTAAAACTACGTGGCCGGGAGTCAGAGCCATTCCCTGTACACCTTGGGGTGCGACAGGGATGTCCTCTGGCTCCAACATTATTTAACATCTATTTTGACCACGTAGTTCGTGAAGCCTTCAGTAGCTGTACCGGAGGAATTTCCATCTGGTACAGATACAATGGGAGGCTGATCGATGCCTGGGTGCGGTCAAGGGATGACTACCTATTGGTCAACCACGTTATGTATGCCGTCGACATGGACATTTGCAGCTCACTCAGAGGAGGATTTGGAGGCGCTGCTGCTGAAACTGGAGTGTGCCACTCAGAGGTGGGGCGTTACCATCAGCCCCACCAAAACGAAGCACCTGCCCGGGTATTTTGTACCATCGGTCACTCCACCCCCACAACTCCCAACCGGTGATGGTGCAGTTGTGGAGAGAGTGGAGAGTTTCCCATACCTGGGCATTGTGCTCATTACTGGCTCCGGTTTAACAGCAGAGGTCTCACTCCAAATCAGTCGAGCGGCATTATCTTTTCATCGGTTGCGTAAGGCTGTGTGTCACTCCGCACGAAGCTTCGGGTCTTCTCAGCCACAGTCATTCCCCCCCTTCTCTATGCTTGCGAAACGTGGACCCCCCTAATGGAACATCTTCACCGGTTAGAAACATTTAGGCTACGATCAATCCTGGGTTTAACCAGGCTGGATTGTGTGAGGAGCTCACAAATCCTCGAAAGATCTGGACAAAGTCCCATCGGTGAACACCTCCGGCAGGCAAAGCTGCGTTGGCTGGGCCATGTAGCCCGCATACCCAGCCACCATATGCCTAAACAGCTTTTGTTCGGCCAGATAAAGGGAGTTAAATGGGCGTGGCACGGGCTAGAGAAGAGATTGAGTGATGTGGTACAGGAGGATGTGGAGCTGAGTGGACTTGCCGATGACTGGCACCAGCGGTGTCAAGATCGTCCTCTGTGGAGAAGGCTCGTAAAGGACGCTACTGGGCAGTTGGAGGCAGTCGCCCTCCAACAACAACAGAGGGCGGATGAGCGACGCTCACAACAACGAGCGGAGCGCTGGGTGGCTAAAGCACAGCAAGTTGGCACAGTAGGGGGCACAGATGGTGCATCAGCCAGTTGTCTCGGTCATCTCAGTCAGTCGATCTGTGGCACCTGGGTCTGCCCCGTGACCTCCTGCCAGCGGGCATTCGACACTTCACGTGGCCTCAATGTGCACACATGGCCTGGCACAAGCGTCGTGGTTACGTCACCGCCACTTAGTGGCCAATGGCGGTTGTTGTTGTTGTTGTTGTGTATAGGGACTGGTAGTGTATAGGTTAGCCGTAAGATGCGCTTTAACCCGGCGACCAGAGTTTGATTCCCGCTCATGGCCAACACCGGTGACGATTATCTGAACCGGTCCTGGGCCTCTCCTAGGTCGACTCAGCTTCAAATGAGTACCTCGCCGCGACGTGTAAAACATCGCCACTGGAGAATACAAATGCGGCCGGGCGTGGCGCTGGCCACCCACCCCCTCGTGTGCCACAGTGGCGGCCTTCATAGGCGCTGCTGCTCCTTGCTCACATCACCTGCGCCCCAACAGTCTGTTACAGGCGACTCGGGGCGATCTTTGGTGTGTTTTTGACTGGGTGTGAGAGAGTGAGATGGTGGGTGGGAGGCTGGAGTGTGTTAGAGAGTAGGGGTGTGTGTTAGAGAGTAGGTGTGTGTGTGTGAGAGAGAGTAGGTGTGTGTGTGTGAGAGAGAGTAGGTGTGTGTGTGAGAGAGAGTAGGTGTGTGTGTGAGAGAGAGTGAGACGTTGGGTAGGAGGGTGTGGGTGTGTGTGTGAGACAGAGACAATTTCAACCGAGAAGATGGATTCTGGCTTAGCAATCATTGGAAGGACGTAATAAACCATTTCGGATCTTAACTGATTGTGTTTACGTTTACGGTGACTTTCAGACCTCGTTCCACTCACTGGCATGGTGCAGTGTGCAGAGTAATGTATGGTGTCGTAATTGTATAGTAAATATATAGCAGTGTGATACACATTAGGGTGGGTAGAATAATACATAGTGTTATATTAAAATGGATAAGGCAGCAACTGCAGCAGCAGCAACTGCAGCAGCAGCAACTGCAGCAACAGCAGCAGCAGCAGAAACTGCAGCAGCAACAGAAACTGCAGCAGCAGCAGAAACT